ATGCCAAGTGTGGGGCTTGATCTTACAACCATGAGATTAGGAGTTGCTTGTTCTACTGACTGAGCCAGCAGATGCCCAAGGATTTTTTCTTAATGGTAACTTTGAGGATGTACTACATGGCAGAAGTTTAAACCAGTAAATAGAAAAAAAAAAAACCTGTCAACTTTATCCATCCATATTGTCTTAATATTATTTTTTTCACACTAATCTATATAAATTCAATAAGTGAAATTGACTGAAAATGATCATGCTTCTGTGTCTATAGACTTGCTCAAAAGCTAGAGTCAGTCCTTTATTTTCTACAGCGTGAGGCAAAGACTGCATCATAGAACCTTCAAGGCCATGCAGTACAAGTGTGCTGCATTATATAACACAAGATATATTGAAATCAACTTACAAAAGATAAATTAGTGGGTGATGTTTCAGATTAGAAACCAAATAGGGTTTACTTTAGGTATCCTTTATCACAAGGTCCCTTGATGCATTTGAAATATTATTTGATTTATACAAAACTAATTTTCACTTAGCTTTTCAGTAAGACATACATATAAAACAAAACCTATAAATGTTCAGGAAAGAGGAGGAAGAAACTGAAGAGTTTTCTAAGTCCTAGATGGCCAAAGCACTCGCTGTGTTGCTTTAAGGTCACTGTTCTTAAGAGAAAAGTAAATAATCAACTGTGAACTTTTTAAAACATGAATTTTACCCTAAATTCAAAAATATTAAATATAAGCAGCCTCTTCTCTCACATTGAAATCATAATGCAAGGCATGAGAGAACTTTGAAAATAACCCATCACTACTCGGGTATGGTTAAATGTTTCTTCCCCATTATAGTTGATAGTAAAATGAAGCACGATTGCTGATTGTCAATCTACTCTACCCTTGTGGTAGAGTCAGAGTTTTGAAAGCATGGATCCTGGATCCTCCTTGGTAACTCTCTAGTTAGGGACAGTGGTAGTGTGTTGAGGTCATAACAGTAGTTGGAAGCTCTTATTGAAAGACAAGTGCATCTGTGTTCCTAACTGCATAGCCAACTCATCTAGACTTTTGGACTTTTTATGTGTTACAAGGTCATTAAACTATTACCCAGGAAGTTAAACCATTAAGAGGTATGTCAATGTAAGATGTTACTGTTTTTGCTGTAAAGATTTTTCACTGTTTTTCCTGAGGCCAAATATCTGCCAGTCCTACATCTTCTCCCTTCCCGTACCTCCATTCACCCAGCACATCTGATTTTATTTCCTCAAGCATACTAATAGTTCACGTCAGTTATCTATTTTCATGCTTTCCATTTCTTTACTTATTTTAAATGTTTAGGTTGAGAGATGATATGTCTTCTAGCCAGGAGCAGACATAACCAAATAAGGTCTTCACTCCCATATACAGTGGTTTTATTTTAAAAAGTATTTCTCAAAGAGATATTGCTGTTTCCAAGGAGTGTGCGGAGTCTGAAATGATTTCAGATACAGTTGTGTAGTTTGTCTTGAATGTGTAATTTTTCGTTCCTTCTAAAAATATAATTTATATTAAAATCTGTATGGTTGAATGGTTTTCTGAATCATTCAGAAGGGAATAAGGATAGAGACTTGATAAAAATGAGCAGATCAATAAAATATTGCTTGTTAGCATATGTTTTGACATCTATACATCAGTTTGGACAAAATACATTTCATTTTTATTAGGAGAATAGAGAAAATTATTCTCTATTAAGAAAGGTTTAAAAACACAATTAAAGAAGTACTCTTGCTAAGATTTAAAAAAGGAAAAAAAGAAAAACATATAAAAGTCTTCCCAATTAGCTTTGAATTGAGTATGTGTTCACTTGAACATGTGTTGAACCTCGCACTATGGATCTATTTTATAACCCACGCAATCTCAATTTAGATGGTCTTTGAGTTCTTTCCTTGTAGTTCTTGATTTTATGTCCATATCTTGGGCCTACATATATCCACTTCCTGGAAGCAACTCATCTGCACATTTACAAATGATATAATATGTTAAGAAATCTATGACTTGCTTTACTTTTTGAACAAAGAGTTTTAATGTGAGAGCCCAGAGTAGCACACAGAAAGAGTTCATTTAGCTCATATATTATACAGATAGAAGAACTGAGTTAAATTTTAGAGATTAAACAACATGACAAACATCTTTTTTTCATTCTGTTCACTATCTCTGGAAATTCTCTGGCTCTGATCAGAGAGAAGGCTTTTAGTTTAGTTGAAAGGCTAACAGGCTATGAATTTTGAGAATGGTTCAATTCCACCAATTATTAGCCTTGCGTTCTTGGGTAAGTCTCAAGTTCTTTGAGAATAATGTGTCTTCATGGGGTGGTTATGAAGACAAAATGCAATAATTTATATAAAATGTGGTTTACAAACCTCAAAACATTGCATCAATTTATTGTTTGCTGCAGCTACTGTGGTTTTTGTAACCATGCTGGGTCAAACTGCATTTTTCAACTCCAAACAAACATATTAACATTTCTGTTGTTTAAATGAGTGAGCAACAGGCAGAGAGGGAGACCTGGGGACAAGGTGGTTAGAAACAGGAAATACGATATTATTGAATACTGAAAAAGATAGGTTGTAATTAAGGATTTTAGACACAAATATATAAATTCCAAATCTAGAAAAGATTCTAGACATAGTTTCCTTTAAGTTTTCACTCCCTTTTCCACCCACCCCGCATGGCCCTGAACATGGCAGAATAAAAATTATGTGAACAAAACCCCAGCATCTTCTTTTTTTTCTTGTAAAAGATCCCTTGGGTTTAATTTAAAATATGAGAAATCTAAAAATTCTTAGTTTATTTGGCTCTTACTGTATTAAGTCCTCGGATGCACAGAGCTGTGGTTCCAAGATGACTGCTTCTATTTATAGTTGTTTACTTTAGATGAATTTAAAATGTTTAAGAAATGTTTCCTTCAGGAAGTCAAGGGCATATATTTGTGAGGCTCCCTAGAACCTTATATTTCTAAAAATTATTTATCAATTTGAAAATGTATGGAAATAGATATAAAATGCTTTTTTATGCCAATTAATAGATGTTTGAATCTTTGGAAGGACAGCTTCTGACAAAAAAAAAAGATTGCAAATGACATTTTGGTTTACATAATAAATAAAATTTTGCATCCACTTTCAGACCCACAAGAATAGATTTATAATTGTTCCTCTATAAATTTGCTAAGTGTGCAAAACAAAATTTCAATATAGAGGATTAAGAATACTGAGAATAATATATTGCAAAGACACTAGAAATTGGAAAAAATAAAGATTAAAATTAGATGTACAATGACAAAAATTTTGAATAGCAAATAATTTATGCAAAATATGTGACAAAAATCTGGAATGATAAATAGTTGATAGAAGTACTGAGACATTTAGTTTCACTTAAATTAGTAAGAGTGTTTGCTTCTTCCAACATTTTGGGTTATTATTTTTTCTGTGGCTATATTTTCAACAGAAATTTGCTGTACATTTTTAAAGTTTATTCTTCTTTAAGCTGTTCTTAATTTTGCCATGGTAAATCTGTGAAAAACTAGACTTTTGTAGCTATAATTCCTTTGGAAGAAGTAAGAAATTAAAAATTTGATTCTGGTTTTAACAAATTCTTTTCTTCATTGTTTTTGATTGTGTTTGACCCCTGTTGGATTGACATTTGCTCAACCTATTTTTGATGTTATGAATAGAAAATGACAACATAAAAAAGCATCTCTCCTAGTGCAATAACCATTGAAATTTGTAGTTTTATATTAAAAACACACAAAAGAATGTGTGAATATCCTAGATAAAATAACAGTTTCAAACAATAACCTGTGTCAAGCAAACAACAGAAACAAGTTGATTATTTCAGCCTCTGAAAAGTTAGGTTTTCATAATTTCACTTAAATTAACTTTATAATAAAATTACATAATCAATATATGATCTGGGTTGTCTTCAAATTACTCTGGGTTATTTTTCAGATAGTTTAGGGGCAAATCTCATTATGGATAGCAATATAAACAATTTAGAACACATTAAAGATGTTTACAGTTTACTTGAGTTATAAAGTTCTCTACCATGGTTCATATCTATACTGAATGAGCTATCAATGTTTAGAGTTCTTCCCCAGGAGAGAATTGATGTAGCACATAAAGTGAAAAATTTCACATATTTCCTTTGAGATGTTCCCAAAATATAGCCTCACAGTTCTAAATGAAAAATTGTCTTAAAAACCAGGCACATTTTGCACTGACTGGTGGTTATTTTTAGGTAAACCACTTTGGGTTAATTAGAAGAAAATTTACTACTGTACAATTATTATGTTGTATCCTTCCCACCTTGGCCTGAAAATAATGAGATGTAACAAGTTTTTCTTTGTCACTGGCAGCTGCACCTTTAAAGTGTATCAAAGTCTGTTGCTGTGGTTACAGCCATTGTTTCCAGTGATGTTTTGTCCATGCTTCCCCCTACCCTTAACAATGGGTTACTCAAAAGAGTGAAATAATGAGTCAATTCATTCAGAAATATGTTGTTAAAATATCCCTCTTTATCTTTATATGTCACTGCTTAGAAACTAGGCTGTAATTCAAGGCAACAGTTAAGTCTGAGAAGAAGTGTTAAAAAAAATCTTTGATTTTTTTTTTTCATTTATAAGAAAAACCTGCCTATGTAATTGAAGAAGCTCTTACAAGTCTCAACAATTAAATCCTTTTTGGTTAATGTATTATTTCTGGAACAAGTAGATAAAATTCTACGCAGTAAGCATGATAAAAATCGTGCATATTTCGCACAGCACAGAATTTTAGAGTCAAGGTTTCTGGGCACAAAAGCAGTAACAAAACAGTCCCTACAAAACTGAGTAACTCTGAATAACACAAGAAATAAATTTTTGTTAATTTAAAATTTTAGAAACTGAAATGTGTAAAGTTTGTAAAGTAAACTGTAATTAAATTATGGTACTGTACATACCAGTTTCTATAATTGAAACTTTACAATATGAAAAATACATTAGCTCTGTACAGTTTTTACAGGTAGGTAGGATGAGTTTTGAAAAAAAAAAGATTCTTTTTCTTTTTTCAGGGTCATACTCTGTTTAGGTCAAAAAAATACTGCACAACTTAGCTAATTACAAAGTGTAGACTTGAAACAATTCATGTCTTCTTTATTTCATGAATAAATCTTGGATTTTTTGTTTAACAGGGGATTTTTGTTTTGTTTTGAGAGTCCACAAAGAACAAATCTTCCTCATTTTTGTCCTTGAGGTTACAAAGTTTGGTGGCAACCCTTGGCTACCGATTAGCTCAGTTAAGTCAGCTGCTGTTTATGGTCACTGATTTGGCCAGCTGTTGTGATTGTGCTCAGGTCCAGCTCAGTCTCTAGGTGTGTTTCCATCGTATCTTCCTGTGCATTCGTTTCAAAGGACTTATGAGAGAGAAGTTCGTGATGCACCCCACAGTAACTTATTGTGGGCTGGTCGTATGCCAGAAAGGTTGACACATTCATTGATAAAGGTATCTGGGGAAAAAATGACATGAGAAAAGTCAGTTATAAAACGACAAACCACTTTGGGGACAAGATTTCATGACTATGAAGTACTGATCTGACTAAGCGCTATGGTTGTATCTGTGGCTCAAGTGTCCCCACACTATCCTAATGATGTCCCTCATTCTTATACTAGTAGGCACAATGCAACAGCTTTAAAGCTGGAGATGGAGCTGCTCAATTCTTAACTCATGTTATCAGATAAATAGTCATATAAGTGGTTCTGAAAATGCTACAAGCTTTATTGAAGAAGTCAGAAAATGCTTTTCCTCACTGGGGTAAAATTGTGGTTTTAGAACTAAGGAAAGTATTATTTGGTTATGTCTGGTATTGGAAGAAACTAGAATGGTGGTTCTCAAACTTTATCATGCATAAAAATTACCTCCCCCTTCTTTACCTCCAACCTCCCCTCTCCTGAGTTTCTGATTCAGTAGTTCTGGGGTAATGCCTGGAATCTGCATTTCTTACAGTTTCTCCCATTTGATGCTGCTGCTGTTAATCTACACACCATACTTTGAGAACCACTGCAGGAAGAGAATTCTCTAGAGAAGTCATTCTGGATCTTCTTACTCAGTAATTTCTTGATATCTATTCTATATGAAAAAATTTTAAAACATAAATGTCTGTAGTTTGGTCCATATATCTAAAATTTTGGCTTAGGGAACTTCTAGGAAGACTCTTTGGCTCCTATGAATGTCTAAAAAACAGCAAAGGATGGTGCTAGTTTGAAGGAAACCAGTGATAAAAAGAAGGAAGGGACTTCCTTGCAAATTGTAGTTTAATGAAAGAAAGCAAGTTGGAAAGATCTGTGAAAAAAGCAAGAATGACCAATGTGAGTGGAAGGGAAACATACACATTGCACTGGAAGGGTAGTCTGAAATGTGATTAGATTAGCAAAATCTAGAGATTATTTCCATTTTATTCAATGAAATAAAAACTTGTTCTATTTTTTAAAAAACTTGATCTAAAAAGTAGGCAGACTTGAAGAAGATTCGGCCCCAATCTCTGTTTAATATTTCAATTACTAATTCATGTTGTTGAATTGCCATGGATGAAAACTTCTACCATTCTTGTTTGGTGAATGTATCAAATATAGTTCTGTTTGAGCATATCAGACTGAGTTCCTTTCTGATCTCAGCTGAGATTAGAGCCTAAAGCTAAGAAAAATAGAATGTCTAGGATTTGTTCTTTTGTTAACTCCTTCTTTATCCTTTTCTGCATGGATAAGATAGTTTTCTTTACATCCCAATCCTTCTATCCATATTTATTTTTCCTTCAGTAAAAATTGGTTGAGCAGATATTTTCTTGTGTTCTCTTGATCAAAAGAATTTTCTTATTTTGAGATTATTGTTTGTTTGTTTTATATGAACATTTCAGGATTTAGTCCTTGGAGATAGAAATGTAATCCAATTCATCCAATTAAATTCCCCAGTAACTGTTCTTATTTATGCAGACTTTAAAAATAATTAAAGCATGCAGTTGTCTGATATATGAATAAAAGACTTTAAACATACACTTTAAAAAATGGTCAAAATGATTGGAAAGACCATAAAGAAAATGATAGGATGCTTCCAAAGATACTCATTTAAAATAAGAATTCCTATTGTTACTGATGAACTACTCAGATAATTAAAATATATTACTATGCAAAAGTAATTGTATAACATGAATAGATTTGAATTATAGGAGAGAACAAAAATAGAACTGTTATTGGATACATGAGTTTTACATTAGCCTCTGGGAAATCAATGCTCTGTAATGTGTTATGGGTCATATAGCTGTATGATTTTATATAGTTGTTCTTATTTGTCATGGAAACGTCTGCTTCCTGGCTTACTTGGAATTAACTCTACTGTGAATAATTTGTAATTTCTATGGTGACGATTTATGAAAAATAATAAACCATGACACATTTATTGTGTGTGTATATGTGAACACACCGACAATTTCTTGCTTGGTTTAAAATCTACAGGTTGCTTATATATAGAGTGCAAGTCCTAATTTGTACTGTTATCAGTTAGGTCTCATTATTCATTTAAAAATCCCACATATTTTCTTTACAGAGTTTCTTATTTTTGGATATGTCTTATTTTGAAATACCTAACCCCACATTCTACTTCTTCAATAGCAAGTCCTAGTTTTCACATTTTAATATTTTTGAAGTTGGAATGGTACTTACAATCAATGTGAATGTTTAACATGCATTTTCTTCTGTGCAATTGTAGGTGATTCTTAACAACCTCTTATTATCAAGAAAATAACTAGTAAGTTGTACCAGTAAGAATTTAGCAACTAACCATATCTGAATATAGCATCACAGTAAATTTTCCAAGCTTGACTTAAATGATTTTGAAAGTCTAACAGTTAGCATTGGATATATTCACATGTACATTTATAGGACTACATACATATATTTATGTACATACATATGCAGTATATAACCGTATACATAAATACACACACACATATATAATATTGTGGTCAATTACATATGATTTCAAAATCATTTAGCTCAGGTATGAAAAATACAAACTTTGGGATACATCAGTTTTGGACAACTATTTCATATTTGCTACTTATATAAGATACGTATATAGATATGCTACATATAATATAAATAATATATATATTTATTTAAAGAAGTGTTTTGACTTTTTTCAAACTGCAGTTGCTAATGACTTTATTCTTGTCACTTCATGTGTCTACTTTCTGTTCATGTATATAAGCTGATTTCCAAGACTATCCTTGGGTTTTGCTAGGGTATGTGCAATTTGATGTGTGTTTGGGGATTAGTTAACAACATTTGTTTCAGTCCCTCCAAACATGAGCTTTGTGTATAGGCTGGTAGTTTTACTTACAGTCAAAGTACAAAAATATGTCTTTGGTACTATTTGAGTAATAGTAAGAAACAATGGAAAATATCTTCCCTACTGGCATAGGTAGGGATTCCCATCTTGAAAATTTTATAATTGATTATTATTTTGGTGTCTAAGTATTGAGGCAGTTGATGAAACTGAAGTGTTATAAGATGAGAAATAGTGTGAGCAATTATCATCATCACTGCAACTTGGTTTCCTGGGAGAGTGTCAAAGTTGTCTTAGATGTTACCTCAATTCCTACCTTAATTTCTTTAGAATTTCTGTAGTGGTTTCTCTGTCTAGCTACCTGAGCAGCTGTGGCCATTTGTTCCATCTCTTGGTCAACAACTGCCTGGACATGTCTCTAACATCTTCCTCATTGTCATCATTATCATTCATTGAGCATTTACTGCGTGCTAGGTACCATACTACATGCTGGACTAGGGTCATCTTATTTAAGTTTCCCAAAGGGTGCTGTGAGGTAAATGTAACTTTCCCTATTTTACAGTTGAGAAAATGAAGATAGTTTATGTGGTTTGTCTAAAATCTTTTACCTGCTGAATTGCAGAATAGCTGCCTGACTTTTTAATCACTACACTTTACTGCTTATTTATCACTTTATCTAACTTGCATTGTCTTTGAGGCCTAGAGAAGTAAACACAATGTTATGTGCCTGATACTGCTTAGACACCAATTCTTAACATTTGAATCTTATTTTCAGTAGGGTGAACACTGATTTCCTGCGCTACACCACAGCCTTATGATACTGCTTTGCACATTGGGTCCTCAGGAAATAAATAGTTTATCAGGGATCTATGACATGAGTAGGTGGTAACAGCTCAAAATCAGAGCTATCTGCTCTTACTAAGCTCATATTGGTTAATTCAAAGTGTAAGGAGAAGGTCTAATTTGGGGAACATTCCGGACTAGGATAGGAACTTTACATAACTTTACATTAGGGAGACCTTTAGGGATTTTGAAGCTAAATTTCTGTGTTGACTTGGAAATTGGAGAAAATTTTTTCAATTAAGTGATGTTAAGCTTTTCTTTTCACCAAAAGATGCAAAAAGTTAGGAATCTCAATCAATCTGTAGCTTGATTATTTTGTTTTCTAATATATAATAGTTGCCTTATTTCTTTATGTATGTAAAAATGGTTATCAGTAGGTGCTGGGTGAAAGCAGAAGTGGGGAAGTGAGACACAAACATGAATAAGACATTATTTCTGCTCTTTGGGAAAATCATAGACTAGTAAGGGATATAGATAAAATAATGCAAGAGAGTGAAGGAACACAATGGATAGGGTAAACTGGGAGAAAAGTTATTATGTGTTATGTATAAGGACATATATATGTATATATATATATGTATATTCATATGTGTATACATACTGTGCTCTGATATGCAGATTCTACTAATTATATCATTCATCCTTTGTGGGTACATAACAAACCAGCCATCTTTCTTGTTTGGAAATAATGTTGTTATTTTCTAGATTTATTGGCAAGAGCCAATTTTGCTGAGAAGTGATTTACTATTTACTTTTATAGACTCTCCCACAGAGATAGTATATTTTGCTTTGAAGCTGATTTATCTGTTTGAAGAAAAATCTATCTCTTGGAACTCTTTAGCATTCTAGTGGTTAATTTATGTAAGTACAACAGAGTGTTGGATCATTAATTTTAATTATTTTGATTCTAGTAGTAATTTATTTTTTAAAATTTTCAGGAAGAACTTAATTAAGAACTTGAATTTATAATATGCCACCTTTAAACTTAAAAAACCCTAACTTTTAAAATACTTTTAAATTATTACATGTAATCCAGACTTTGATACTCAATTTTGGTATTTTGAAGAGCTAAGTTGCCAACTAAAGTAACAATAGCTATCCTGAGATCAAATGTATAAGATAATAAGGCAATCAATATGATTTTGAAAAATTTCCAGTGTCTGAAACTTAAGAATAATGTGAAATAAAATATTACACACAGGAGGATAATAATTCTTCTAGTGTCTTTTGTGTCAAAAATATATTATAGTGAACTCCTACAGAATGAAATTATAAAGTGAAAAGAAATCGAGTTTCATTTAAAAGGTTTTAATTCTCCTTGCACCA